CCAGAAAACCGGAAGTGGCGCTGTAGCTCAAGTGGTAGAGCGCTCGCCTTGAGCTGAAGAGCTGAGGGACAGCGCCCAGGCCCAGAGTTCAAGCCCCACGGCCGACCAAAAAAAAAAAAAAAAGAAGTTCTTGACATTACTTATGTTGCTTATAGTACCATCTATATGCTGTAATGCTGTGGCAATGCTCATTGGTAAATACCCCAAAATAACAACACTTACCTTTTTAAGATTATACCAAAATTAAATGCGAAATTCAAAAATTGCTTAAGATTGTTCCCATATTCTGAATACTAGCTTTGTTAGAATCTAATAATCATCCAGTTGTAATGGTTTTACATAAGTCATGTTCTAATTTGAAAAATATATTCTAAATGTGTTTGAAAGAATCTATAGTTGTAATATGTTTTTCCCCCAAACTCCATTTTAATAAACCAACTAGTTCAAAAGCAGCAAAGAGAATAGATTTGTAATTTCTAGAAACAGCATTATAGATGATCATCAAAAAAAAAAAACTATTCTAACAACAACAAAAAAACAACTAGTCTTACTATTATGTGAGTTACAAGATAATAAACTCTAGGAAAGTGATCAATGTGAGTAATGATGTTAGTAGAAAAGATTTAGCACTACTGCTAGTTGGAATAGAGAACTCATTGAACTGGGCTACAGAGACGCTAGATAGCAATGTGCCCAATAATATTTCACTCCCAAACAGATGTTGGATCTATACATTAGCACAAGTCAAAAGAGTGAGAATGTGTGGATGAATCACATTTTTCATAGATACTTTTTCAAACTAGTCAAAACTTCGTCATCTAGCCACCAGATATGGCAGCTTGGAATGGCTTCTGGTAGAAGCCACAGTTGTATTTTTTGCTTTTACTTTATGTTGAGCAGGATTTTTAAAAATATGAACTTTTGACCATATTCTTCCTCAGAAATACAAAATCATAAAATGATACTGGGTAGATGTACTTCCTATATAAGGAATGAGTTTTGGTATTTACTTACCTCTTATTGGTATGTGTTATTAGTACTAATGATTTGCTAATCTCTTAGTTTTGGGGGGGCCGTTGGTAGGAAAATCTGTTATACTACTTTGGCAAATTGTAAGCTAATTACTGATTAAACAAAAATACTGATCTCTAGTCTTAATGTATTTATATCAAATTGTTGTCTTGTGTCTTAGCTGTTCAGACTACACTAAAGTTTACATATAGTGAAAAATACCCAGATGAAGCTCCCCTTTATGAAATATTCTCCCAGGAAAATTTAGAAGATAATGATGTCTCAGACATTTTAAAATTATTATCAGTGCAAGTAAGTAAATAAGAATTTTTTGTATTGATGTTATATTGTTGGCTTTAAATATTATATGTTAACTTAAACATTAGATAATGTTATTAAATAGTTGTAATAAGTACAGACCAAGCAGAATGGATGGTGTAGTATTACCAAGTGTCTTTGTTTTAGTTTCCCACTGTTCCTTTAAATTTTGAGTAATAGAAGTTGCCCCAATTCCTATTTGAAACTCAGCATTATGACTTACTTCCTTAGTCTTTATGATATAGTAGCCCCAAAGGTACTTTAAATCATAAGCATAGTTCTAATTTGGTTCTTAGAATATCTAGTCCTACATGTAGCTAGAAGTTTCAGCATTAAAAAAAAACAAAACTCCCTCCCCTCTGACCTTTCCAGACAAGTTGCCTGTAGTGGGCTGCAATTGTTTTTTGTTTTTCCTTTTCTTTACCTCTCTTCTTCCTTAAAGCACAAATATCAATAATGCTCTCTGGCCCCTCTAAGAGGGGAGGGTTGTGTGAAATAACAAGTGGATATGGAGAAGTGTGTTTTGGACTAGTTCTGCAGTGGGATGGGCTTGCCAGGTGGCTAAAGTCACTTGTTATTGGGTAGTGAGCTTTTCATTTCTTCAGAGTGAAGAATAGGGAGGTACTTCATTCACCATCTTAAAAATCAGAAGTCCTAACTTGTTGTTTGTTTTAAAAATTGTCAGAAGCCAGATCTTGGGGCTCATGCCTATAATCCTAGCTACTCATGTGGCTAAGATCTGAGAATCAAGGTTTGAAGCCAGCCAGGGAAGGAAAACCTTACCTACTAAAAAGACAGAAGTAGAGCTCTGGTTCAAGTTGTAGACTGCTAGCCTTGAGCACAAAAGCTCACGGACAGCCCCCTGGTCCTGAGTTGAAGCCCTACAGCTAGTCAAAGAAAAAGGGATTGTCAGAAAACATCTCCATCAGGGCTGGGAAGGTGGCTCAGTAGTAGAGCACTTGCCTTGCATGCATGAGGCCCTGGGTTCGATTCCTCAGCACCACATAAGAAAAAAGCCGGAAGTGGCGTGGTTGCTCAAGTGGTAGAGCGCTAGCCTTGAGCTGAAGAGCTGAGGGACAGAGCCCAGGCCCAGAGTTCAGGCCCCACGACGGAACCCAAAAAAAAAAAATCTCCATCTTAAATATAACTATTCTAAGGACCAATAGTCCTTTAAGTGTTACTTTAAAAGAAAAATATTTGGAGTTTTTAGAGAAGAAAGCAAGCAAGAAAGTGTGAGAAGATTTTGCTGCTTCTAGGCCCTGCTCAGCCTGTTACCTGAGTGAAATTACAATTACTCATTATATATTTCATTTTAATAATGAAATATAGTAAATATAGTAATCTACAATGTGGTATAACTAGCTGAATTAATAGTCGTCTTATAAAAACATGAGATTTAGTGGTTGTGCAAAAATTGTTGGCTAGTTGTAATTTTTCTGAGAAGTGTGTTTCTCATCACCTGTTTTTGTTATATAGGCTGAAGAAAATCTAGGTATGGTGATGATCTTTACTCTAGTTACAGCTGTGCAAGAAAAATTAAATGAAATAGTAGATCAGATAAAGACTAGAAGAGAGGAAGAAAAGAAACAAAAGGAAAAGGAAGCAGAAGAAGCAGAAAAGGTATATTTTAAGAGCCTGTTTCCTCTCACTAGTCATTAAATCTGTTTAGTTGGGAGCCAGTTTTTTTTTTTTGTTTTGTTTTGGGGGGGGTGTTTTTTGGAAATTGCAGTGTTTTTTTTTTATCACAAAATAAGGTGTATTTTAATACAACTTTATTGAGTAAAATATTTTTTGGTAGCATGCATAAGTAACACATAGTACTTGTGTAGTAAACCTTACATAAGACCAAGAAATTATTTTACCTGTTGCATAGTTCGGGAATTATAAATCATTACTAAAAATAAAGACTGAAGGGAACCTCAAATTCTGAAATGAAGTGTAAAAGTCATGATTTAATATTACAACTTGATGTATATTCATAATGTTTTAGTACTGATATCAACTTTGCCAGTAAATAGCTATGGTAAATACAGAAGTTTATTGCATGTGAGATATATATATAAATTAATTTATTCATTTTTTTGTAGTAAAAATCAGAAGTCTAGTTTCTCAGTTGAACCAAAAACAAAGAGAGTGGCAAATACAGGAAGAAATCAGATTCAATACTTCAAAATTTCAATGTGTTTTGGCTGATACTCTTTCCTGTTTCACATGTAATCAGTATGTGTATTTGTCTGGAATATTTAACTAGGCTTTACTTGTTATACTGATGTTTCATTAATCTGGCAACTTAAATCTCTATTTAATTTTTAAAGAAATTATTCCATGGCACTCCTGTTACAATTGAGAATTTCTTAAGTTGGAAGGCCAAGTTTGATGCAGAACTCTTGGAAATTAAAAAGAAACGCATGAAAGAGGAAGAACAAGCAGGAAAAAATAAATTAAGTGGTAAGTAGTATGACAGCTCTCTGCCCCATCATCATTCCTGCTATCCCCAAAACCCCTTGGATCCTTTCTTGTATAGCAAAAAAAGGCCATTTAAGTATTACAATTGATAGATCTTAGGATACAGGGTCATTTAAGACCATAAGCCTTAGAAGTGATATAGTCAGACTTGTTGTTTTCTAGGACTCTTAATGCAGACTAGGGTGTACGTGTTCCACTTTGCTATACATTTCATAAGCCCCATAGCTACTAAAGCTCACATACATGTTTAAATTCACAAGACAACAGATTTTAAGGAGGTTGTATTTTTTATTACATTTTTAAATGGTTATAGAGAAGATAATGGATCTAAATTGAGGCATTTGAATTAAACATACCTATTTCTTTTAGGAAAGCAGCTGTTTGAAACTGATCATAATCTTGATACATCTGACATCCAGTTCTTAGAGGATGGTAAGATAATAGAATTCCACTCTGAAAATCAAAGTAATAATTTTACTTAATGTAATGTTTTCCTCTCAGAGTTGTTTAAAACACATACATACACATTTTGAAGCCTACAGTTTAATAGTTTATTGATTTACATATTTGAACTGAATGTTTTCATTTTGTGTGTGTGTGTGTCCGGTTGTGGGGCCTGAACTCTGGGCCTGGGCACTGTCCCTCAGCCCTTCAGCTCAAGGCTAGTGCTCTACCACTTGAGCCACAGCGCCACTTCCGGCTTTTTTCTTTTTTCTTATGTGGTGCTGAGGAATGGAACCCAGGGCCTCAGGCATGCAAGGCAAGCACTCTACTACTGAGCCGCCTTCCCAGCCCTGAATGTTTTCATTCTATAGCAATGTAGTTTTTAAGTTTTCTCATGACTTGAGCAATCTTCAGGTAGCAGTAGGTAGACAATTATAGTACAATAGTCTGATAACTAGTAAACTGGTACATCAAATTTGTAGTATCACAAATGTATGAGAATGGTATCTTGTGATTTTTCAGAATTTGGGTAGCTCTCATATATGGAACTCTGTAGTTTTCTCCGTAACCAAAATCTCACCTTTCCTTGTCTTTGAAGCATCTTCTACTAATTGTGCTTAAGCTCTGCTCCTCGCACTCTCACTTGTTTTTTGTTTTTTACTTGAGTCATGCCTCTTATTTCAGCTTTTTGCTGGTTATAGTTTTCCATACACCTTACCTCTTGACATCTATCATCTATCTATCTACACACTAATATTTACTACATTGTCCTGTCTACTTAGAATATAGCAAAGAACAGTATAAATCAGTTCTCTAACCATACACAGTTTATGACCTATATATGTTGGGGGGACTTTTGTTTAGTTTGACTCAGGAGTTTTTATTTAGTTTTATTTTGACTCAGGGCTTCAGACTTATTCTACCGCTTGAACAATACCTCTAGCCCTGCTTTCGTTGGCTATTTTAGAGATGGAATCTAGTGAACCTTTCTGCCTGGTTTGGCTTTCAACAGTGATCCTCTCAGTATCAGCCTTCTTGTTAGCCAGTATTACAGATAAGAACCATTGGCACCCAGTACATACATGTTTTGTTTTTTTTAAAACTGGATTCCATACTTAGCCACAAGTCTAATAGCATCTTAACATTCTGTGTTTTTTTTTTAACCTTCTGTTATGTTCATCTTGCTAGTTTGGAATCTTCTAGCTTTTAGCCTTACCACCTTGTTCTAGATTATTGCTGAAGAAGGTTAGGAATCAGTGTTGATAAATCTTCCTAACCTAAACTAGGCTCTTATTGGTACCACCTCTATTATTTTTTTCTTTAGGTGGTGTAAGGTCTTGAGCCTGCTAGGCTAGTAGTGATCTACCACTGAGTTATTACTCCAGCCTTCAATATTTTTTGTTAAGTGTTTATTTCATTCTCTGTAACAGCTATGCCAAACTTTTTATATTCTCAAAAAATAAAAAATGTAGTTAGGATATCTTACATTTTCTGCAGAGTCCTCATTCCAAAAACATCATATCATTCTGTCTTTGGCTTTCGAAGTTTTAGTATCTTCACTCATTCTTATCTCCTTTCTCTTTTTAAAGGTTGATCAGGCATCTTTTCATATCTAGTAAATTGCACTGACATATCTTTTTAGCAATTTCTTTTGTTTCAAAGGTTTTATTATTTCACCTGGACTATAATGTAACCACTTGAACAATTTCTCTGTATCTCTGCATCCTTATTTCCTCACCTATAGCTGCTGCTTCTGAGGTGATAAAAGCCATATTTTATCATAAAAACTCTATAAAATCCTTTAAGCAATATTAGTCACAGTTGTAGTTTGATTTTTTTGTAGTTCACTAATTTCTTCTTCTTTTTTTTTTTTTTTTTGGTCGGTCATGAGGCCTGAGCTTGGGGCCTGGGCGCTGTCCCTCAGCTCTTCAGCTCAAGGCTAGTGCTCTAACACTTGAGCCACAGCACCACTTCTGGCTTTTTCTGCTTATATGGTGCTTAGGGATTGAACCCAGGGCCTCAGGCATGCAAGGCAAGCACTCTACCACTGAGCCACCTTCCCAGCTCTGTAGTTCACTAATACCTTGAAATATAATATTTAATCTGGTCTGATGCTGTTTATTCATCTGATTTTGAGCCTTTAGTTTTTGTAGATGTTCTTTGAAATCCATCATTGATACAGGAATTCACTTTTCACAATTAGGGTTACCCACACTTGACTTCTTCCCAAATAAAAGGATCTACCCCAGCCGGAGCATTCTATAAAAACTGATCCGTTCAGGGCAGAGTTCTGTTCTAGTAATAAAAAGGATTTCAAGTTGCTGCAATTGTATTGTTATATTGGCTTTTCAAAATAGGTGTGATCGTCCAGAAATGTTTCAGTAACCCCTACATTTACAACAAGGGTCTGTTTTCCTCCCCAAACCTCGTGCAGTGATACTCCCAACTGCTGTTTGTTATTGGCCTAGAAGATCTGTTCCCTTTTTATTGCAAACGAAAACCATCCATCTTCATTTTTATTAGTGGGCATGTAACTATACCATGTAACCTTAAATCGGCAAAAGGGATTTTCTTGTGTAAGTTCCATTGATGTAGTATTGTTGTTGAAACATCCCTTTCCTGTTCCCCAAAAATCCTGCAGGTGGTTCTCTTTTGCCAAAATAACCTCTCATTTTTCACTGGAGTTGGAGCAGAAAGAGCACTCTCAGTATTTATCAATTGGTTGGACTGAATAGGAGCTTATGTAGGCTGAATGGAAAGATCACCTAATGTAGTTTGTTACTGTTGCTGCTACTATGTACTGAATCCTCCAAATCTCAGGCCAGTTCCCAAACCACTACCTAACCCAGTGCTAGTTCCTGTTTGTGTGCCCAAACTAGTACCAAATCTAAAACTTTTGATTTGAGTCACCCCTGAAGAATCTAGTAGTGCCAGTGTATGTTAGGCAGAAGAAGCTAAATGCAGAGTCTGCAGTTGTGCATGTCCAGCTGGCGGCAGCAGTGCCCCAGATACTTGAGGGAGCCCCAGAATTAAAGGCAGTGGGAACAGGGGACTCCAGCTTATTGCACTTCAATGACTGAACAGTTCTAGGCAGTATTTTCAATGTTATCACTTGTCAATAGGCTAGAGTCTGAGAGAGACAGAAGATAGCCATCTGTGAGTGCTTGAAGAGTACTATCGCATCCTACTTTAATCTGTTTCAGTCCACACTGAAGTATGATGTTTTTAATGCAGAGCCTGCTTACTGCTTCTGACAGGAGCTAGACATTTGGAGTATTTGAAATCTGTTGGATATAAAGAGCACTGGGTGAGAGTAAAGGTTCAATTAAATCTGTCCTCTAAGTTGAGGTGTAGTGATGTGTGGGCATCACTAAACCCCTGACACATGTCTCAGTGATAACCACCTTTCTATAACTAATGATAACAAAGTCATATTGGAATATGCCACATTATAAATCATGGCATTCTAATAAGTTTTTAAATAGAACGTCCAGATTTTCAAACTATGAACTGAAAGAACTGCTCTTAAAATGTCAGAGTCTCTGCTGATCAATATATTTGTGGTTTGAACTGTTGGGTTTAGAATGTATCACTCATCCTTGACAAAAGAAGTTTCTCTTTGCTAGTACCAATGAGTTATATCTTTATGAAATACATCTTCATGAGATATGAGTTACGTGTTTCAGAGCTTATGACTGAAGGTAATGTTTTCTCACTCTTTGCAGCTGGAAACAATGTGGAGGTAGATGAGTCATTGTTCCAGGAAATGGATGACTTGGAGCTGGAAGAAGAGGAGGAGGACGACGATCCCGACTACAATCCTGCTGACCCAGGGAGTGACTCAGACTAACGGACTGCCCCCATCGCTAGAGAGGCTTCACAGCCACAGCATCTGTGGCTATGCTGAGAGGGCTTTGATTTTCCTTTCTTTTTTTTTCTAAGAAAAAAATCATTTTCAGGAGAATAGTCTTCTGATAGCTTACATCATTGAACTTAATAAACTGACCTTAAAATTTCAAATATAAAATGTCTACTTCTTATTGGTGATCAAAAAGTCACCTATCTAAAAATCATTTAGTGTTGAGAAGAGCTGGCCTGTAAACACCAAGACTTGAAGGTAAGGTTTGTAGATGAGGAATTGGAATAAGTTAGAATTTCTATGCTGAAACCAATGATTACTTCGGGGTGCAAAGTGTTGTCATTCATACCATGTTACATATTGTCTGCAACACAAACACTCATCTCCATCTGTGAATGTGTATATTAACATGGGTGTTTGACTTGGGCACCAGGTGAGAGAGCCAGGCTTCATGCAGATTACCTAGTGAGTGTATTTTTGGAGGACTGAATCTTGGCCCCAGTTGAAAATCACTTGTGCAGTGCACATAGCTGACTTCATTTAAAAAAAAAAAAAGAAAGAAAGAAAACACGTGTTGCATACCCATAAACAGAACAATATCAATTCCATGTTTATTTGGAAATCAGACCTTGGGATTAAAAGCATTTTCATGAAAAGATAAATCTATTGTGAGACTTCATGCTTTTTGAGGGAATCTTGTGGTTAACCTTGATCCCAGATCAAGAATGGAGGCTTTGCTTTTCCTAGAAAGACAGTTTAATCTGATGAGTAGATCCATAAAAGCTGTTACAGTTAAAAAAGAACGATGAACAATGTGGGACTGAAGTGAGTGAAGACTGTCCTCCCTTCCGGTAAGTTTAAGACTAGTTTTATACATTCCTCATTGGATATCTTTGTCATTTGTGACTGAAGGCAAGAACCTAGTGATAAAATGGGGACAACCTGGTTTGTTTTTATAACAGAGTATGTATTGTATTCTAACCCAAGATTTTGCTTTTCAAACTAGAGCACACATATTTCCAGGATATGTAGTAGTCAAACTAGTAGTATCTGTAGTAATAAGTAATCAATAAGTAGTAGTCAATAATAAGTAGTCCTGATTATCAATTTTGCTTTTGGATTTGGGAAATTTTTTTCTACTTGTGCCAAGTTGTGCAAAAATATTACTGGGATAAAAACATAAATTCTGAGTTAATGCTTGACACAGAGTGGACACCTAATATTGTTGGATGAGTGAATTATGAAATAGAATGCCAAATTTTCTTGTACTTTAGAGATACATGAGGGTTTAAACAAATTTTTCTGTTTTTCATTTGCATCTTTGCATAATGCTAAGCATCTGTTACTTTGGCCAGCAGAGATCCTTAAGGGAAATGATGGGTAAATACTGGTCAAAGGCCATACCTAAATAGTACATGAACTTTACCTACCTGAGGTAGAACCAAGAGAGCAGTCACAGTCTCAAGGAAAGCAATGAGTTCATCTGTCATAGTCTTGAAACATGTTTGACAAGAAGCAAAATATTTATTCTTGAATCCCAGAAAAAGTGTAGATTGTGCAAACATGTTAAGAGGTAGAACTGGAACATAAATGTACTACCTGATTCAAATCATTTGCAGCATTTTTGTCTTTCAGGTTTCTTTGTTTCAGAATGGTTCAAAAAGTCATTTTGATTGTTGGACAAGACAGTCAAATACTCAAAAATCACTGTCCAAGTGAAAGGAATATTATTCCCAGCACAAATGGCACTGTCTAAAGTGCTGAAGATTAGCTAGCATTTGCTTTCTCTTAATGCTGTGATACACTTAACATATTTCTGAAATGCTGAGCAGTTGGTGGAAAAGGAGAGTAAGATGGGCTGATAAGTTGGAAAAGAGCAACTGGGAAAAAGGCAAGAGGGTATTTTCAGATTGGGGAAGAAAGTACCAGAGCTTTTTTATTTCCTTACACAACATGATGAATTTTTTTTAATGTTTTGACAATACTGGGATTTGAACTCACAGTCTCAGACTAGGCAGGCGCTGTACCACCTTTTTTACTTTGTTTTCCAGGTAAAAGTTTCATGTTTTTTACCCAGGCAGTTCTGAACAGTGATCCTGCTTATATCTGTGTAACTGTGATGACAGGCATATACCAACATGTCACCCCATGCCCAGCTTTTTTGTCAAGTCTGGGTCTTGGCAAGCAATGTAAGTTCAAGTTACTCATTTTGTTCACTAACAGGGCTTTGTAATTAATAAAGGATAGACTCATCATATAGACATTAAAGTTTTGTCCCCTGAGCAGTAGATTTTTGTATCTGCTTTGTCTTTCACACTGTGGCTAGAATTCTACTTAGTTTATTCCCAATGAACGAACTTTGAGGAAAAGTCCTTCATGTTACTCTGGAATATCTGCTTATATCTTTCATTCTGCCCCCCCCCCCAGTTATGATGTTTCCAGTTGCCAGCAGTACTTAATAGGATAAACACAGGGAAAGCACACAGGAGATTAATTAAAACTCCATTTTTTTTAGATGATTACAGATTTATAAGTAGTTGTAGGAAGTTTAGCTCCCATCCATCTTTTCTCACACTGGAACATGGTATTAAACTATAGAACAGTATCACATCCAGGACACTGATAATATGCCCATAATTCTCGATTAAGATACAGTATTTATTCACCTATCCATAAATAGCCAATGCATAATATGGATGTGTGCATGTATATACATATATGTGCACACATTTCCTACTTTTAGGAATGACACTATTAGCATGCATTAACTGTAAAGGGGCTTCATTGGGATCTTTCCACATGTGTAGGCCATACATGCATGTGAAGTCCTTAGTTTGTATCCACTCCATCCTCCTCTTGCATTTTACCCATTCCATTCAAATATCTTCAACCCAATCTCAGTATCTGCAGTGCTTGTCTCTTCACTGCTTTTTATAGATGAGCTGGGAAAGAAACTTGGGAGTGTAATAACTACAGTAAATATAGTTCCATTTTCTATATTAGAATTTCCCCCAATCATAACCATTCTTTATGAAGAATAAATGAGGTAAATATACTAAGATTAAAAAATGAATTTTACTATTAAGTAAGCAAATTGTCTTGCTTTTGAGTACGGTATGCCACATTCTAACATTGTGGACTTAGAGTGTTTTAATTAGATATTGAAGAAAAGTTTGAAGATGAAAATATGCGAATTTTAGAATATTGGATGAAAACTAGGGAGTAATTATGAACTACCTTTTCACAAAACTCTACAGTAACTAAATCTGTTGAGAAGATAAGTTACTTTTTTTTCTCAGTTCAGTCCTTACTGTTATCTTAATGTTACTTTTCTTTTGAGTATAATAAAAATGTCTCTGGTCCTTTTATGTGTAGGAGAATAACTTTTGCATTAAAAAACAATAAAAGAAAATAATTAGCTTGTCATGAAGGCTCAAGCCTTTTAAGCCTAGCATTTGGGAGCTTGAAACAGGAGGATTAATAGTGTGGGCTACGTAGCAAGATCTTGAACCAAAAATAATTTTAAAAGAAATATATTTCTGTTGGTCAAAGGGAAGATATTACATTATTTAAAGAAAAATTGCCCAATTTGACAATATTAAAATTAAGAATACTTAGTGAAAATAGCATACACCAGAATTACAAAAATAATATATACGAGAGAATCAGCATGTGTATTAGTAAGTCAGTATCCAGAAGCTTTTTAATACAAATTACTAAGAAAAACACAACTGCTGAAAATCTGGACACACTATCTAAGATTCTTTTTGCTCACTACCACTTGAGCCATAGCTCCACTTACAGTTCTTAGTCACTGGTGCCTGGCACTCCTTTTTTAGTATCCGTGATTCATATGTTTGGCCTTTTAGTGTAGCCCCAGAATTTTGCATTTGTATTTATCTGTTTTCTTTTTCTTTATCTTAATCTAATTTTTTCTATTATATCTACCTTGTCTTCAAGCCCTGATATTGTGGCTTTCATTTGATTAAGACTGCTAGAGAGGCTTCTGACTCAACAAACATGACGGCTAAACTTACTTGTAGCCATTGACCTAGGCAGATTTCTTGGAGATCTGGTGGTCTCAGACAAATACACCCAGTTTCCTCGATCCCATATTATCTGCCCCTAGTTTTGCACTCACTGTGAGTGTATTTTGCCTTTTGTGATTACAATAACAGGGGTTTTAAGTAAAGCTTATTAAACACTGAAAGTAACGGTTAAGGAAAAACAGTTTTTGCATAATTTATTGTGTCAAAATCAAACAATATTAAAACATAATTCACCTTGTCGTATCAAGACTTTGAAGAAAATAAAAATAAATGTTATAGTATGTTTGTTACTAAGAACAATATTATAGAAATCCTTGCCTTACTATGGTTCTACTTTAAGATATTTTTTGACCTTACAATACTGCAATTCAATAAACACATCCTTGACCCTTGCTGCTAATTCTTGGTGAGGAATAGATTGTATATGGCTCTGTATTTTTTAAAACTACTGTTACAATCAACTTTGGTACTATTAATGCAGAAATTAAAAACAAGGAAAAGGGCCCAAATCTATATGAATGCTCTTGTCCCTGAAGAAGGACAGGTCAGTAAGGCCCAAATTCTTCCCTGGTCTTTTAAGTAAAACCACACCGTGGAAAGAGGCTGTTTTCAGCAAAAGTAAGGAAGGCCCTTTCTTTAAGCCTATTGGTCTGAAGCTGTTCCAGGAAGAAAAAACGGTTCAGGCCAAATGTTCAGCAGCAACCAGAGTGGAAGCCTACTTCATGAGAGTTGCATGAAGTGCTGGATCCCACCGATGTTGCAGTTGACTGTTGGGGTCCAGTCTTGATGTCATTTTCCTCATTGTGGACATCCTGCTCGATCTTCCTATATATTTCTTAGGCTGTCTTAATGAAGGCCTCTTCAACATTGCAGGCTGGTTTAGCCTGCGATTACATTCTATGAATATAAGCCCATGCACCTGAGCAAAGGCCTCTCCTCCCTCTCAGCACATCCTCACTCTTAGATGAGCAAGATAACCATGTTGGAGCTGGAGTGCTGGTGGGTATCCTCTAACCATGAAGTCAGGGTTAAAGGTTTCACGTCTAGTAATGTGTGCTAGCAGTGCTCCAGCTGCTTCCCGATAGTAGGATTCTTGCCCAACCATAACCCAGATTTGATTTGTTTTTCATCACTTGACCATGCATGCTCAAAACTCAACATCTGTTGTAAGGTCGTGAACAGGCTGGAACCCTTGTCAGTAAATGGCAGGAGACATGTCTTGCCACACTTTAAAGACCAGCCGGTGCACTCCAGACAGCTTGTGGCTAGGAGATTTGAGGTTTCTTTCTAATGAGGAAATACACTGAAATCCAGGAGCTGCAGATAATCATGATGTATTAAATAAGACGAATTCAAAATGAAAAATACTGCGTTCTCTTGATTGTTTTGGGGACACACACATCTACATATAGTGTGTATAGTGTATATAATTTATATGTGGTGACAGACATGTATATGTGTAATATGACTTTAACCATGGGACTGAGAATGAGGGGAATGGGAAGAATGAGAATGATGAAGGATGACTAAAATAAAAATACATTGCAACTGTGTATGAAGATAGCATGAAGAATCTCACCAACAGGTGTTAAACAATGGGCAAGTGAATGCGATGAGAGAGAGCAGTAGAGAGGGTTATTTGGGTTAAAACAATATATGCATATACAAAATATGTTGAAACTCCTTGGCAAAATTAATATACACTAAGAAAAGAATAGCAGAAGAGTAAAACGGGCTCTAATAGGGATAGGTTTCAGTGAGGGGGGAGAATAGATGGAGACAGTGAATATAGTTGAATATAGTGAAATAACATGAAATGCTAAGTATTTGTTAAGTAACTCTTCATTAGTAATGTAGTCATAACTTAGAAATACATAAGTTAGGTGAAACAAAGTAAGTGAGCTTGTAGAGTTACTTAAATTTGTCATGGAAACTGATTTAATCATTTTTCTGTGAGAAAATCTTTCTAAAAGTTACAAAATATGTGTTAATAAATTGTTGCTGGGGAAGGGAAACGAGGATACAGGTTGACCCATTATAACAATGAAACATACAAGACACTATATTGAAAACGAACTTTACAACTTGGTGGGGGGAGGGAGGAGTTGGGGAGGGAAGGGATGGTAGGGAAAAACAAAGGAGCAGTAACAATGCTGGATAAGAAATATACTCATTACCTTACTCATGTAACTGTAATCCCTTTGTACAATACCTTTCCAATAAAAATTAAAAATAAATTGTTGCTATATGACAAACTAAGACTTATTTCTTTTCAAATCTTCATTAAAATTCTCCTCTAAAGGATAACTAGTAGAGGCTTTCCTAAAGCACTTCATAAGCTACGTCGGGACATCTTTTTCTTTTTTTGTAGAGGTGATATACAGAGGGGTTACAGTTACATAAGTCAGGTACTGAGTACATTTCTTTTTTAACAGCAGCACCTCCTCCCTCGTTGTCTCCCAGTTTTTCCCTCCCAACCCATTAGTCCCTGAACCCCCACATTGTATAGTTCATTTACAACATAGTGGCTAGTGAATATCACTGTTCAATTCATTCACCCTTTGCCCCACCATTTCTGTGTTTCCCCTTCCACTCCCCAAATCAGATAAACTTAACATACAAGACAAAGAGTGACAAAAAGGGGGGGGGGGGGAAACAGAAGAAAAAAAAGAACCACAAAAAGTAAAATAAAAAAACCTCTTTCCACTTCTTGGAGTTCATTTCGAGAATCATCATTTCATATAATCATATGCACATAGCCATTGAGCCCTTGTGATCTCTCCTAAGAATATCCTCCTTTGGTCACACTGTGTGAATGTCTAGAGTCCTTTTATTTTATCATGTCCCAAGTGTAATGTTTTTGACCTTTACTATCCATTGACTTTACTTATAGATTTGTAGGCACATTCTAACACAAATGAGGGAAGCCATGCAACCTATGTTTCTTTGGGCCTGGCTTACTTTGCTTAATATAAGTCTTACTGTTACCTTATGAATGGGACAATGTCATTCTTTCTGATGGAAGCATAGAATTCCACTGTGTGTATATACCACACTTCCTTGATCCATTTGTCCATGGAGGTACATCTGGGTTGATGCTATATCTTAGCTGTGGTAAACAATGCTACAATGAACATGGTTGTGCTGATCGCTTTAGTGTGGACTGCAATGAACATGGTTATGCTGATCGCTTTAGTGTGGCCTGGTTTGTGGTTAGTTGAATAAATTTTGATAGGCATTTCAAGGGGGAAATCCTTGTGTTGGTTACATGGGCCACACAGAAAGTTTATCAAACTATAGATAACACAGAAAATGTTTACACCATTGCTAAAACTAGATGTTGTGTGTGGATAAACCCCTGTGGGAAAGGCACAACCACAAAATTTTTTTAAAAAAGCAAATGCTCAATAATTACAATAGGTCTGACCTAGTTTTGCTTGTTCACTTGATTTGTTTACTTCATTACTTTTATAGCTTTTTTTTCCCCAGAGCTGAGGACCAAACTCAGGGCCTTGTGCTTGCCAGGCAGGCACTCTTCCACTGAGCTACACCCCCAACCCCTACTTCATTACTTTTAAATCCATATTCTTGGTTCAAAACTATTATGTAAACTAGATTTAATCTAGGATTTGTTTTAAACTTTCTTTTTTGAACTTTGTACCTGTTTATTTTAAAGTTTGGCACGACAATTTGTAACATAATAGTGTTGGCTCAGTACAGGTAGAATTGGTCTTAACTTTGGACTTGTGATAATCCCTATCAAAAGTTCAAGGTCTCTGAGTTACTGAGTTACTATTCACTGGCAGAAAGTTCCTTCTATGGTCTAGCTTGAGTCCCTCCTGCTGCAGGAAATTTACTCTTTTCCCTGATCCTCATTCCCTTGGAAAAGAAGACTATCCATGGTAACAAAAATTGATTGACACTAAAACAGGCAGAAATATCCGAGAGATGAGGGATGTAATGGTAAGCAGCTGTTACTTCAGCTCCAGAAGTACAGACAATGGCTGAGTACTGTAACATAAGCCTATCATCCCCAGCATTATAGGGAACCACAAGACGGATCACAGCCCTATCAGGCCTCGGCATAAAAGGAGACCCTACTTCAAAAATAACCAATGTAGGAACAAGTTAGAGAAAGTCTTTCATGTTCTCAAGTGGTAAAGTGCCTGCCCTGTAAAATGTGAGGCCCTGAGTTCATTCCTCTTACAACCAAACAAGCAAATAAAAATTCTGTAAATGTACGTGGCACAGATTTAGTGAGTACAAAAAGAAATGCATTTTTATCCACTAGTTAAAAATAAAAGATAAATTTTATCTACTAGTTAATAATTAAACCAAGAGTTGATGAATTATTCTTTAATGATTTGATCTTCACTGTGAAGTATTATTACAAAGAAGCATAGGTTCATAAATTACTTCTCGGTGTATTCCACTTACTACCACATTGTAATTATCATATTATTTTAATTCAAAAAATTAAAGTTTAATGATCAAACTTAAAAGATTTTTAATGTTTAGTTGATCCTGAATTCAGTTACAGAGGCAGAAAAGCTGTACACTAAAGAATGCTCTCTGAAGACATCTACGAGTCATGTTCTATGCAATATGTTGGGTCATTTTTGTTCTGGGTTCCAATGCTGCTTATCTCCCAAATCAATTCAATTTTTGAAATTTCAAGGCATTCAATAATTTCATGTCAAGTAAAGTTCTAAGCATAGATTACTGATTTTGTTCATTAAGATAGCTTTGTAATAATGATTTAAAATGATTTTTTCATGGCTGCTTTTTTTTTCTTCCACGCTATGACTACAATTCTACTCCTCATTTAAATCCCAGATGATCTTCAAGGGAAAGTCTTTCATGTTCTTCTGGAATATTCTGTCAAATCTTTCATTCTGCGCCACAGTGAAGTGATGTTTCCAGTCGCCCACAATGCCTAATGGGATCAGCACAAGGAGAACACACAGGAGAGTGAGCAAAACTGTCAGGCAACGTCTGCACCCATCCACTGCAGCCCCTTCTTTAACTCAAGCTAATGGCATTTATTCTTTTACTTAAAATAGAGGGATGAGTAAAAAAGAAACTTGGGAATTCTGGAATATTATAAATATAATTAAAGTTCATATTCCCATATATTAGCATTTCTTCAGTTGCTCCCTTCCTAATTACCACCATTTTTGGAAGAAAAAAATCCATTTTATATATATATATATATATATATATATGTATGTATATATATAAACACATATATATTATTTACTGTATGTCAAGCATCAGGCTAAGCAAACTACCTCTATCAATAGAATTCTTAATACATTTTATTGGATATATATTCTTTTCTACATTGCAAAAGCAAGACATAGAGATACTCAACTAATGATGTACAAGGTCACTTGTTACTTGACAGGAGCTTGAAACAATCATCACACCATTTACAGTAAAATAAAAAATAGGGCATGTTTAGCTGTCAGATAAATTGCATCAACACTACTGTTGGCTTTTGGAACATAGAGCAAACCATTACGATGGGTATGAGAATTGCCTTTTGGTTTAGTCAAGAAATGTAAATATTAAATGGCAGTTGACATTAAATGGCAATGGAGGAAAAAATTATGAAATTTCAAAATCAAGGCCAATTGCCATACAATACCCAAATAGTTATTCGTAAACTTATTATCACAATAGTGATAATGAGTTAAAGAATAAAATGTATTTGTTGATTAGAATATACTCATTTAATTTAACTTAAATGAGGGCTAGTTTATGGCTCAAGTAGCAGAGCAAACAAAGGTCTTGAGTAAAAAACCCCAATGGCAACATTTCCCCCCAAATTTCAGGAATATCCGTTAAGGAAACATTAATTTTTAACAACTCCTGACATGTAATAAGATCACAATAAGAAGTAATTTCATTTAAAAATGAATGGATTTATGGCAAATAGGTTGAATCAGAAATCACTAGTGGCTCATGCCTGTAATCCTAGCTAGCTACTTGGGGAGCTGAGATTCAGAGGATCTCAGTTTGAAGCTAGGCTGGAAAAGGAAATGTGAGAGAGTTTATCTCTAGTTAGCCAGAAAAAGTCCATAGAGGAGTTTGTGTGTGTGTGTGTGTGTGTGTGTGTGTGTGTGTGTGTGTATGTGTGTGTGTGTGTGTGTGTGAGAGAGAGAGAGAGAGAGAGGGAGAGGGAAGTTGTATAGGAAAAGGGAAGTTGGGAGAGAGGAGAAGCAAAAAGGAGAGAGCTTAACTCCTAGAAACATCTAGTATAAATAAAGGAAAACAAGAATTCAAATCTTTTTGGTCTAATATATCCACTGCCTTCAGATAAGACCACTTTAAACTATTAAAGAGTTAAGTCATGTCATCTATAGGAATGATTTTACTTATGAAACAGGTGAAATTGTCAGTTATGTACTAAAACACTGGTAGGATAAACATATTAGAAATATGATAATTTCTTCTAGAGTCCAAGGACTGAAGTGAACACAATCTGAGCATCACCTTTGCGCAAAAAATGTCCATCATTGTTTCTTGTCCCAATTTCCTTTTGTGAAATGGTAAGATAATTTGCCCGGTCATCAGACTTCATCTGCTGAAATGTAGCCTGCCTCACCACAGCATCTATATCTTCTTCACTCAGTTCTTTTTCGAAAAATTTGCTAATTTTCATCACTGAACTTCTGAGGTCCTGAAATGAATTGAAGGCATGAGAAGTTATTCCACATATGAGCATGAGTTACAGTGAAACATAGTGTGGTCAGGGAAGGCTTACTTATAGAGTGCAAGGTGGCTCTGCATAGGAAAATAAATCAGTACAGTTTATCACAAAATGGAGGGGAAACTGGCTTTATTATCTTCATTTATATAAAAACATGATTGTAATAAAATTCAACATCTTTGTACAGTAAAAAAAGAAAGAAAGCCGATTAACAAACTAGTAATCAAAAGAAACAAACAAAAAAAAAAGGCTTTTTTTTTTTTTTTTGCAATTTCTGGGGCTTGGCACTGGGCACTGTCCCTAAGCTTCTTTTGCTCAAGGCTAGCACTCTACCACTTGAGCAACAGCACCACTTCTGGCCTTTTCTGGGTATGTGGGACTGAGGAATGGAACCCAGGGCTTCATGCATGCTAGGCAAGCACTCTACCACTAAGCCACATTCCCAGTTCAAAAGGCCATTCCTGAAGAATTATTAGGGAATACTTTAGAATTTTATATTCCAATAAATTATAAAATCTAGAGAAAATGGATGAATTTCCAGATGCATTTTAGCCTATCAAAACTGAATCAAGAGAATATGAACTACATAAAAAGATCTATAATAGAAAATGAAATTGAAGCAGTAATGAAAAGTCTTAGGCCCTGGGACCTGATAGATTGTCTTCCAAATTCCACTAGAACTTTAAAGATTGAGCATCAATATTCTTCAAACTATTCTATGCAATAGAAGCAGAAGGAAAGTTAAATATTCTACTAAGCTAGTTTTACCTTAATACTCAAGTGGTTAAGGGCAAGAAAAAGGGTTAAAAAAGTAAAAAATTAAAGAACAATTTTTTTATTAACATAGATAGAAACTTTCTCAATAAAATACTTTCAGGGGCTGGGAAGGTGGCTCAGTGGTAGAGCGTTTGCCTTGCATGCTCAGGGCCCTGGGTTCGATTCCTCAGCACCACATAAGCAAAAA